TTCCTCCTAAAGGTCTTGACCGCAGTGGCCGCTCCAGCAGCAGTAGTAAGAACGAATACAAGATCACTTGTGCCGAGAAACGTAAGCGTAACCCCGATGCTCTTGAGGGTCGCATCCCGGAGGACAAGGAGTGCTGCCAGTGGTCTGGCAAGTGCGGTGAATTTAATAAGTGCACCCAGTCATATTGCGAGATTTCTAACAGCTATAACCGACCTGACGACTCTGACCGCCATGACGGCCTCGACAGCTCTGGTCACTCTGGCAATTCTGACAACTCTGGCATGCCTGGTATGTCTGGCATGTCTGACAGCTCTGACTGTTCAGACAGCTCTGGTATGTCCGGCGGCTCTAGCATGTCTGGCAGCTCCGGTAATTCCATATTTATTCAATTTTTAAATAAAAACATTTATTCGGGTCGTAAGATATGTATAAAATATAAGTACATATAAATGTCATTTTATTGATCTATTTATTTGATATGGGTTTTGAGATAAGAATAATAGGAGACTATGTCTATATGCATTTGTTTTTATAGCAGTACAAAATTATAACATGCAAACGATATTACAATTTTGTGTACAAGGAATTATTTAGCGGGTATTTCTCTGGACATTTGAAAATATAGTTAAGACAAGTTTGACCTCTTTATATTGCTTTTTTTTCATTTCTTTGCTCTAGCTAGAGAGTAGGAATTTCTCTGTACGGCACTGCTTGTGAACATAAAACTATTAACGCCTGAGCCGTGTCCAAAGCGCATCCGGTCCATCCGCAAATGCAGGGTCGATACTTATGGGTCCTCTCCAAAATAACAAAAACACCTGGTATATTATACTATTTAGTACTGTTCTTCTTGGTATTATTAACATAAAACCTGGGAGTCTATGTGTCACTGTCTATATATTATTTCAATATCGGCTGAAGAAGGCTCAAGTTGAAAAAGAGATACTATCTCAAATTTAATAAAGAAGTATCTTTACCGAAGCAACAGTCATGTCTCAAGTTTAGCTACCTAATCTACGACGCCTCAGACTAAACTCAATGTCTGTTGAATTTCTTGAGTTTGAATTCGTGGATCCATGCTTCACTGAATATCAATATCGTTTGGATTGCACTGTATTTAATGTTTTTTTAATAATGTTGCTGCTTTCACATTAACTTTTTTATTTCCTTTTTGTTTACAATACAAATTTTCACATGATTCTGGTTTGAGAGTGGTTTCTAAATATCTATTACCGGGTCACCAATGAAGGTCCAATATAAGCGTAGTAAAACCACACGGAGCTTGTATTGGACAACATAAACTACAATATAAAATGTAAATGGGTTTTTCCTTAATACGGTTTTTTCCCCTTTTGAAAAAATTCTTAGTATAAATGCCTTGAGCAGGCACCACAAAGAGCTCTTATTTATAATTGACAGTCTAACAATATCTACTATCCATTGGATCTTGTTATGTAAATATTCTCTCGTAGATGACGTAGAGGACAATTTGTTTTGTCTCCTACTGTTTATAAATTCCATCATTTCCAAATTCCAGGTCCAAGGGATTTTGTCCTGTTCAGTGTTCAGTGATTGCTGATTTCAGAATTATTTATAGAAAAAACAATCCAGAAAACAAATACTTTTATATCCGGTCCGGTTCAGAACTTCAGACGTTAATAATTTTATGTTCAACTTCAACTGCCCCGTTCACATAGAGAGTTAGAGACATTCTGATTCGGCCAATTCGGGTCAATGTTCATATGTACGTTGCGATTGCTTGGGTTTTTAGACCCCTGCCGTGCTCGAGTGCCCGAGACCGTGAGATTCAAGAGTCGAGAGTACTCGAGATTCTTGAATCCTTAGTTTTCCCAGCAGAAGGCGGAGCCAAACACAGCCTGCCTAAATGGTAAAATGGTTAAATGTAAATATGGAGTGTTCCAAACAAAACCTGTTTTAGAAAAGATAAATATTTAAAAAAAACAACAACTGGGTTGCACTCGGCTTCTCTCTAGTATAGTCTATGTACTAGAGGTCGGAGCCTGACTCTGTGCCTGGGGTTCTATCCGTGCGAATAAAAAAGGATATGTCTAAAAGCAGTTAAAACACAATCAAGGATAATATTTTTGCAGCAGTTATGTTAAAAAACAAAATTTCATTGAAAACAAATAAGAGATAGTTTTCGCAAAAATAATAAATAAATATTTATGTTGGAGTTGGGCAGTTGGACTATGTAGATTCTCACTCTCTGAGAGAGTGAGTCGCTATTTTTTAATTTTTTTTAACCTCACACTGTTTTCCGTTAAAACTTTTATAAATCGAATATATAAATATACGTTTACGTTAAACTTGCGGGTCTAGATATTTTTAATAGGACTGTACGAATGATGAATACAGTACACACTTTATAAGAAGAACCTAGATAGGCCCTTCTGATCACATTATAACCGTTGTAGCGTTTTTAAAATTCAATAAATATGCGTTTACGTTCTACTTCTTGGGGAGCCGCAGAGACCAAAAGCGTTCCTTAAAAGAAGGTAGCTAATAACTTGTGAATATAATATATATCTGCACAGGGTGAGCTGAGACCTGAGGGTGAGATTTCTTGATGGACCCACAAAAGTACTAGAACAAAAGTATACATATTTTTTGAAAAAGTAATAATATTTAGGATCCCTCGGGGGCCTCTTTGAGGCCTACAAATGAGGAAAAAGCGTTCCGGACAGATTTCAAGTTCAATAAAAGAAATAGAGACTCTACAGCTACGCTTACGGATAAATATGGAGCTTAGGACTGAGTAGTGCGACTGCCGAATGAGTGCCGAGAGCCGAGTGCCGACTCTCTTATGATTCGTGTGACATAAAGCCACAAATTTTGTGATCGTGTGCATTGTTCATTAATTTCCAACAGCCAAGCGTCTACTGACTCTACTCTACTCTTTACGCGAGTAGAGAGTGTGAGTTAAAAATGAAAACGTCTAGATTGTCTCCGCTCTCAAGTAAAAGTATTGTCGCTGTATTTTTTTAAAACAATGTATATGTACATATGAATGAAAAGTAAAGATATGTAAACGGATTCTTCCCCCGGGATAAAATGATTAAAATCATTCTGATAGAGAATTCCAGAGGGCCACGCTACAAGAGTCACAACTCTTGAACTCACAAGTTAAACAAAGGTAAATAAATATGTGTATAATTTAGTAGGCTATGATATATGCCTTACAACTGTGTATATTGCTTTCGATATCGTTTTTTAAAAAAGAAAAGAAAAACAAAAATATTACATATTTGATTTTGAAAAACCAATAGATATTGTAAAACAATCACCTGCACTCCATCGAAGTACAACTAAACAGTGTGTAAACACACTGCACAGCACGATCGTTTCGGTCGGTGGGACCCCAATAACGCCTGAGTCAGGAGTGAGATACTGTAGTCCCACCAAACTCAGTATATATTTTAAATATACCAGGCCCCTACGGGCCCTACCACTATGTACTCTCTAGAGTAGAGTACGTATCCCTCGATTGTTACAGCATACCGATACTGATCACTGATACCGTGATACGTCGTATTCTCTCTAGAGACAAAGAGAGACACTGAGTGTGAATCAGTTTTAAAGCATTTCGTTAAGATATTGATTTGAGGAGGGTTGAGGGCTTGGGGCCCTGAGACCTGGGCCTGAACTAAAAAATACAAAGTGAACATTCAGGACATTATAAAATAGTTTTCAATCATAAGACACGAGCTACGTTCGGCAGTACAAAAGCCACCAGGAATGGTCGTAATTCGTCAGTTCGAATGCAAGATAACAGAAATAAGGCAAAATGAACATTTCTACCATCATCACCATTGCAGCAATTGCTGTTGTAGTTAGCGCTAAGTCGTATTATTAGCAGATCACAACATGTGCCACTAAGGGATTTACTGGCAAGTTGTACGACGAATCCAAGGTCTGCTGTGAGTATTCCGGTAACTGTGGAAATCTATATAAATGCACTGAGAGTTTCTGCAGTAGCCCTAACAGTTCTAACAGTTCTGGCCACCCGAAGCGCTTTGGTCGCTCTAGCAGCAGCAAGAACGAGTACGAAATCACTTGTTCCGAGAAGCGTAAGCGC